TTAGACCAGTTTCTGTCAAATGCTCCTACTGGAAACATGCATTTAATCAGCACATGCAGCCAATGGGCTGCCGCGCTGATCAGTGTATTTGTGTCACAGCAGGGATGATTTCCCCAATCACCTGGAATGTTTGGCTGGAGAAATCAGTTCAGTTTTTTTTGTTCATTTCCCTGAGTTTGAGCTATGCCCACTCTAATCAAAAGTTAATAAAAGTTTTGTCCTTAAATGCACTTTTATTTTTCATCTGCGGAGTATACCTTTAACATCTTGCTGATTTGCTCACAGCTATACCAATCTCGCCTTGCTCTCATCGCACAGATTTCGCAGACTTGCACTGCACACATTTGCTACGGAAATGCATTGTGTTTACTAATTAATATGGTTACATTCATCTAATGTATATTTCATATGCGGTCCTGTGAATCGTTTGTGCATAATTTTGCATTGGATTGAAGAAGGCACAGCTTCCTGTATTGAACATAACTTATTTACAAGTCAATCTGCAAGTGCAGAAAATACCTCTCCAAGCTGCATCTGATTACTTTGGATTCTCTTTGTTCGGCTCCCTCCAGGCAGAGGACAAAGACAACTACTTGATCAATGCCCAGGCAGAAAAATAGTCTGAAAACTGCAGGGTCCTGGTGGAGTTAGAGGAGCAATAATTTAGTTCATGTACAAGACGAGCACTGTGTATATAAATATGTGTAAAATTTCACTTCAGAAAATAAATATGTATGTTGTTATTAATCATTGGGTGAGGTTTTGAAGACCCTTGCATAAATGGGACACTGGGGGCATATGGGTTAAAAGTTTATTGAGTCCCAGAATTGCAGAAATAGAATGCAAAGAGCTTTATCTATCCTGCTTTAATTTATATCCTGGAAATGTAAAACGGAATTATTTTCAGATAGTCAAATGGAAAGTAATATTTGTGGTGGAGAGTCAATAACCGGTCACTTCCATTGGGATGTCCCATTATAGTTTCCCCATACAATATCGGTGTTCACTCCCACTTTAGGTAGCACAAGCTCCTCTTTTTGGATCCTGCCTGGATCTTCACCTGACCACTATAGACCTGTGGTGTCTCCTTCCACCTTTCTTGTTTGTTCTCCACAAGACACAATAAATAATAAAGGTGAGTTACCTGAGTGTGCAAAACTGGGAACTTATATGCACTGGCAGCACTTGTCTCCATTGACCATCATTCCCAACCATACAAGCTGCCAGCTAGTACTTTAGTCTCTTTCCCCAGAAGAGCAGGCAAGCTGGTCTAGGCTCAGTTTTCCTCCTATGTATAAGACATTCACAGGGTGCAAATATATGTTAGTCTACCTGGTTCAAATACCAAAGAGTGCTCACCTGCCTGATTGTCATATTGACTAACTCTACAGCAGTAATAGTGTATCCCCAGACAGCATGGGTGTCTAGCTGTATGTTGGTATCCTAAATTGGCTCTGGTGTTGTCAGCAGTGGAAGTAATATCTAGAGCAATGTGAGTGAAGAGGGGGCAGTGGCTGCAAAGGGTATGGTGGCTATAGTGCTGTGCTGTAGTTCCCCCACAGTCACACTCATAAATTGGGCTTCAGTCTGGGGTGGAGCTACAACCAGCAGAAACAGAAAAACAATGTTATTTTATTGCAAGTTTGCAAATCAGTGCTACATGTACTTAGTCCTCTGAGGGAAACAACAGCAATTTTCCAGTTCTGGTATTACTTCTTCCTTAAGAATTACAAATTAAGAATACATTTTTTTTATTGAATACGTTTTCCAGAAGTTGATTTACTTAAAGAGTAGAGATCCACTTTAGTACGCTGCAAAGTGAGTGTTTTATTTTTTAACCTAGTGAATATGGTTGAATTGTGTCAATGTGCAACTGCTTGCAGCAAAATTTTGTTTTTGCTGTATTATATCCCATTGCTGGGTATTCAAAATTAGCGTATAGAATATCTAAAGAGAAGAAAAAATGGTTATTTTGCAGGTCACCAGTCTGTAGATGTGGTGACTGCATTGTTTGCTAAAGCTTGCCATAGATGGGTCAGTTTTTTCTGTTCAGCTAGCGGGTTGAACAAAAAAAAAAACTGACCCTATTCCCCCATTCACACATTCGAGGTGGATGAGAGAATTGCACTTGCTGAGCTATTGTATTCTGACAGTGGGGAGACTTCTCTGCCATCAGAACACACTGATCAGTGCTGCCGGCCATAGCCAGTGGTGCCGATCAAGAGGAATTTGTCTGACAGGGTGGTTTTACATGCCCATACATGGATCAAATTTCATCCAGTCCCTGCTGAACTGGACAGATTTTGATTCATGTGTGGCCAAGTTTAGTTCTTTGTTTTTTTGAGGGTTTTTTCAGGTATAATAAAAGAACTATTGATACCCTTGTAACTTCCTGTGAACTGAATTGAAATCTCAAACAATGTTAACCTTCCTAGTTCTCTTCTGTAAACTTCAAAACAACTCCATCCTATATAATGAAGATGAGGAGAGAAGGAAGCGTCTGTAGTTTAAATCAGGAGAGCAGTTGGGGTGACAATTCTGTTCTTCAAAGATACCATACAGAGATGAGCATTGTCATTGTAGAAAAGGAAGTGTGTTTCTGCCAGGATCACCTGGTGAGAATTGAGAAACCTAAAAAAAAGAAAATTAATTTAGCTTCTTCAATGCCTTGATCAGATAGTATTGAATCCAGAGACAAACAGACCATTTTTAGAAGGTGATCAGCAATGGCAATTCACATACAGTACGTATTTTTATATTGTCTTTAAGACAGACAAATATGTAGCAAGAACATTCTAGAAAACCAATTATTTCAATATCGATCAATAGCTGTTCGATACATGGTGTGGGATAGTTTCCCTCAGAAAATCACAAGACTATATTATTGTCAGAAAAATTCAACGAATGTGATAACCATACGATGGTTAGAGAATTGAATCCAAAATTCTCTTCATCTAGTTTAAGGACCTTAGGTTGTAAGTTCCTTGAGGGTTAGGAAATGACACGATTGTACAATTTATATGTAAAGCGATGCATAAATTGACCACACTATACAAGTACCTGTAATAAATAAATCTTTGTTGATGAAGTTAAGATGGATAGCTTTATGCTCCATAACACTGCTTTACAGACATTATGGGTAAAATTAGCATGTCAGAATATAAGACGCTAATATGGATCTGATTGTTGATGGCCGGACAATCAAGTCCTCAATATATTGGCCAGGTTGATTAACGACAGAAGTCATAACTGGAAAATGATTAGCAAGTGCATAACAGATAGAATCATGAATAATGACATGTTTCCACTTCTAAGCTGAGAGACTACTTGATCTGCTCACCCACCAAAGTGCAAGAGTAATGTAAATACCAGAAAATTTGAAGCACATACACATTTTTTACTTCTCAAAACATTCAAAAGGATTGTTTAACTGTTCTTTAGTTAAGATCTAATTTAACAAATTATTGCTTTCATTATTTACAGATGTATCTAATCTTCTATTTAATCTCCTGACAGTTAAAAGCAATGGTTTACATTTTTCCATCATGTCTGTGGGAGGTGACTTGAGCCAGGCACTTCATTCATTATGGCCAAATGAAGACCTTGCCTCCCCTGGTTCCTGACAGATATCTGAACAGATATGAGGGACCAGGGAAGCATAGTGTGCTGTAGTTATGAGATTATTGCTTCTGACTTTATATATATATATATTTATATATATCTAAAAAAAAAAAAATATATATATATATTTATATATATATTTGCTTTAGACCAGCCATTCTCAATCTTTTCAACACAGAGGAACCCTTAAAACAATATTCTGGTCTCAGGGAACCCCTGCTAAAAATTACTATATGTGCTGTCATTGATTCTGTTTAAATATTGTAGAATATTGTAAAATCACAAATATATGCGTCTACAGTAATATATCTCGCTGAGGATTTCACATTTACTGACTCGTTTCATAGTTCACATCTGCTTCATCAGGGACAACGCGGGACCATCTACAATATTTAATACAGCATTATTGACAGTGCAGCTAATGGTATAATTATGAAAGTTTCTTTCCAAACACAGTATACGCTAATCATTTACAGCTTACCACAACCTCAGTCAAACCATCTGATGACCATTGGCTTCTGACTGAGGAGGTGCAACACAAGAGGCCTGTGTGATCCCACCTACATATGGCGTAGGGGAGGGTTTATCAGATGGTTTGACTGATGTGGTAAGATGGTCCTGTGTTGTCTCTGCTGAATCAGATGTGAACTATGAAATGCGTTGAAAATCCTCAGCGGGATATATTACTCCAGATGCACATATTTGTGATTTTACTAAAATTGATATGTAATTACATGTCCAAATATTTACATATGGTGGTTATTTACTTTTTCACCATTTTAATGGAAATACAACAAATATCTTTGTTTTTATTCAAGTGCATTGTGATTTCAGTACAGTGCCTTTAAAGTCCCTTAGCTCTGAAGGTAATTTCCTTTGTTTTGTATTGGCTTTGGTTTACCAGATGTGTGGCACCGAGCGCCTATTCCCTGGGATGTGGTAAAGTCAATTTCTGGTTAAAGATCTTGGCATAGTCATCATAGTTACAGGGGCTCTCGCAATACCAAAGCCTTAGAAGCTTGATATGACCAAACTGTGACCACCACTGACAATGCTCCATGGCTCTGTACTATTTTACTAGTTATACATAATGATGTAATTCAGAAGTTAGCACACAAATCCAAAACACTTTCTGTTATCTCTAACAGCAGCAATCTCCTTGGACTGGTGGGTAGAAAAAGTAGGTAGCATTTAGTGTATCAATACAAAGATCACCTTCCAAATGGATTGAACCTCTTAACATGGTCTCCAAGTCAACACTGTCAATGAAAGCTTGACATTTGATGTTGATGAAAGTTTGATGTCAATGAAAGTCTGTCACTATGATATAAGAAAAAGAGTGGAAAGGTTATCTTGACACATCTACAGGACAAATAGGCTTTGTGTGGTCTGCCTCTGCACAGGACTTGGCTTTGGGAAGTCTTCCTTTGCAAGCAGATGTTTACTGGAGTTGAGATGTGTGCCAGGCAGGGCCAGACTGACCATTTGGAAACTCGGGCACTGCCCGAGGGCCCGGGGTCAGTAGGGGGCCCCATGAGATGACCCTGGTACCTTTTTCATAGGCATTTTTGAGTTTGGGCAAGGGCACAGGGGCCCCATGATCCCCTATTGCCCGGGGCCCCTTGAGTTGTCAGTCCGCCCCTGGTGCCAGGTCACTTGTATAGTTTCAGATTGTTCTGCTGCCTCTGAAGGAAGATTGCATAGTCCCGCCTTGTAAAAAAAAGTTTGACGTGATTAATTGATTGGTACCCTGGGCCCTCCAGAGGTTTACTGAGGCTGGTTTACTATAAGAGTTGAGAATCTTCACACATGATTGGATTACTGAAGTAGGCGTTTACAAAATGTTACGGCACTTGTTTCCTGTGTACAAGAATAGATAGCTAATAGTTATTTTGCCTTCTTTTGTCTCCAGCTCTGGATGGACTTTGTATGTTCCAGAGGTATTCAGTAAAAATCCAGGAAATACAAAGTTAAAGGTCTTGTCCATTCCTGCCAAGTAGAATTCAGATTATCTTTTTATTGAGAAAGCTGAACAATGAAAGCAAGCATCTCAAACAATAAGGTCAAGGTAATTATTTTTTCTCATCTTCGGTAGTCCATATTTCATTGATGCCTTTGTTTTCTTCTTGGCGTTCCACATAAAATTCGATGACCCCCAAAGCATCATTATCTGCATTCCACTAAACTTGACAAAGATTTTAAATAAACCTGGTTAAAAAAAAACAACAACTCTTATGTTTATTTGCCTTTATATACTTTGTACGTAAATAAGAAAAACATACAATGATTATGTAACTAACACTCTCTGCACCAGAATCAAGCAGTCACAGTTCAACAGACTCTTCACTAAATGATCACAGACGTAATTATGAATGAAACTACCATTTTACTTTGCATAACACATTCTCACCATATGTGCTAAATGAGTATTAAAGGAAATCTGTCAAGAGAGAAATATGTAGGATGACATTGCTGTCTTCTTTGACCTATGCTTTAAGTAACTGGCCTGGCACATGGCTTTTTTTTAGAACTCCTGGCCAAGAGTTGGAGCTCTGTGAGATCTGCTTAGTGTCCGGAGCTAATTTCATAAAGCAAACCTAAATTGAATTTAGAGTTTAAGCCAAACTATAGAGAAAAAAAAATTATCCCTTGCAGAGGGGCTGCAAGGTTTGGTTCTTGGGGATGCATAAAAAAAATGTAATTCACTAATTTCTCCATTTTCTTCAGGCTCCTCTGAGCAGTAAGGTCAGTTCCCACAGCCCCTATCCCCTGATTGCCCTTGACATCATCAAGTTGAATACAGATTCCACGGCCCTGCACTGGATGTGAGGACACTGAGGAACAGTCCACTGCCAAAAGGTATTGGACTAGAGGTTAGCCCTGACTGCTGGGTTAGCGGAGAATCAGGTAAGAAAAACCTATTTTCATGGCCCCCTATAACTAAATAAGCATTTAACCCTCACAGAGCAGGGGCAACCACCCTTCAAGGGATCATCTTTGTTCTCCCCAAAAATGGGAGGTGAGCTTTAAAGCTCAATTCTAACCAAAACTTTTTTTTTCAGTCTGGGTAGTTTTGAGTCGAGAAAAATTAGAACCTCTGTTGAATTTTTATTGTCATCTAAATTTCCAGTTGGGGTAATTTCCTCTAACTTTCTCTTGGTGACTGGTGCCACCTGGGACAGATAAAAAAGAGCAGCAAAAAAAAAAACAGAGAGAATGCTCTTCACAGTTGAGTAGAACACTTACAGAGAATATATTGGGTTTGAAGGCATTAAAAGGATAACTGTACTAAAAGTATATATACTGTATTTTTTTTAGAGCAAACCAGTACTTCATCCATCCATGAAAAATAGACAAGTTTGTCATATAGCAAGTACTCTCCAGAGCCTGTACTTACTTGTACATGGTTGTCCACTACACTGCCAGAGCCCCCAAAAACTCAGGGCGTCTGGGTACAGTAACGGGAGGGAATCATACAATTCCTTTTCCTGCCTCTGACAATACAGCACTGGGTACCAAATTGGCCATTGACCATTTATTTGGTTGCAGAGCAGTCATATGAAGAATGTTAGCATTGTGTAAGCTCTGACTCAGAACTTACAAATCAATTTTTGATGGGATCTACTGGATGGGAGGCAGAGGAGCCAGTGGATGGGAAGTACGAGCAGTTGAAAGGACAGGCTATCCAAAGAATTTGTTACTTTGCCCTGAATAGTCAAAGTACAGGTTTTCTTTAAGTGTACAGCGGCAGGGGAGTTCCCTAAATTTGCAGATGATGTCCACAGTAGCAGAACAGCAGTTGTGTCAGGTTGTGTATTAATCACCAAGCCCCTATGTTCTGCTAATGTTTATATACAGGGCCGACACCATCCACTCACTAAAGATTAATAGTAAATCTTTGCACAGGATGTTTAATGTTTTCATAGATCGATAAACTGCTGCAAGGCTTTTATCAAGCGATTGGGAAAACAAATAAATAAGAAAACGTTCCAGATGATTACCTCAGTGTACAACTTACTGAAATGATAAGTAAAGGGGTTCCTTTTATCGAGGTCCAGTTTTGATCCCTAGAGGAATGGTGTACAAATGAATGTGGATAGCTGACATGCCAGTCTTGAAAAGGATTAGATCCCTACTGTTTTCTTCTACTGTTTCAACTGTTGTTCTACTGTTTTTGCAACCATGTTTAAAATGAGATTCTAGCTGTCTTATATATAACAGGTCTGTCCTCTTCTATTGCACTGTGCAGTGATGCCAATCTAAGATGTTTTTTAGGCACTAAGAGCATTTTCCAAAGCTTGGGTTTTATAGAGAAAAGTGAGGTCACTGTACTATGGATATGCAGTGAGACAGGAATTGTGTTTAGCATTTTGGCCAAAGTTATGGTTCAAAATCCCAACTCCAACTGTCAGGACTTGAATCACATGCTGGTGGCACTGTGCTTCCCAAAGAGGGAAGTTGCCATTCTGGTGTCCACCAGCGGGAGTCTCCCAGCAGCTCCAGTAATCAGCATTCACCTAATGCTGGTTGCTGGGAGGGTATTTAAGCCTCTCTTTGACGATATATACCTCACGTGAGTGTTATGATTTTCTTTGCTTGCTGCCAGATACTGTATGCCCTTTTATCCTACTTATGCTTCTGCTCTTGATTTTACTCTAGCCCTGAATCCTGTAGCCTGTGCCCTGCTGCCTTACATCTACTCCCCTTGTTCCTGTACCTAGTCCTGTACTGTGTTCCTCATCTTGCATATACACTGCTCCAAAAAAAATTAAAGGAACACTTTTTAATCAGAGTATAGCATCAAGTCAATTAAACTCCTGGGAAATTGATCTGGTCAATTAAGTAGCAGAAGGGGGTTGTTAATCAGGTGCACTAGATGGGCAACAATGAGACGACCAACCAAAACAGAAATGGTTTGATAGGTGGAGGCAACTGACATTTTTTTCCCTACTCATCTTTTCTGACTGTTTTTCACTAGTTTGGCTAGGGTCAGTGTCACTTTTGGTAGCATGAGGTGATACCTGGTCCCTACAGAGGTTGCACAGGCAGTCCAACTCCTCCAGGATGGCACATCAATATATGCCATTGCCAGAAGGTTAGCTGTGTCTCTCAGCACAGTCTCAAGAGCATGAAAGAGATTCCAGGAGACAGGCAGTTACTCTAGGAGAGCTGGACAGGGCTGTAGAAAGTCCTTAACCCAACAGCAGGACCGGTATCTGCCTCTTTGTGCAAGGAGGAACAGGATGAGCACTGCCAGAGCCCTACAAAATGACCTCAAGCAGGCTACTGCTGTGAATGTCTCTGACCAAACAATCAGAAACAGACTTCATGAGGGTGGCCTGAAGGTCCGAAGTCCTCTAGTGGGTCCTGTGCTTACTACCCGGCACCATATAGCTTGATTGGCACTTGCCATTGAACACTAGAATTGGCAGGTCTGCCTGTGTTTTTCACAGATGAGAGCTGGTTCACCTGAGCACATGTGACAGACGTGAAAGGGTCTGGAGAAGCCATGGAGAGCGTTATGCTGCCTGTAACATCGTTCAGCATGGCCGTTTTGGTGGTGGGTCAGTGATGGTCTGTGGAGGCATATCCATGGAGGGACACACAGACCTCTACAGGCTAGGCAATGGCACACTGACTGCCATTAGGTATTGGTATGAAAGCCTTGGGCCCATTGTCAGACCCTATGCTGGTGCAGTGGGTCTTGGGTTCCTCCTAGTGCACGACAATGCCTGGCCTCATGTGGTGAGAGTATGCAAGCAGTTCCTGGAGGATAAAGGAATTGATACCATTGAATGGCCCCCATGCTCACCTGACTTAAATCCAATAGAACACCTCTGAAATATCATGTTTTGGTCCACCCGACACCGCCAGGTTGCACCTCAGACTGTCCAAAAGCTCAGCGATGCCCTGGACCAGATCTGGGAGGAAATACCCCAGGATACCATTCGTCGTCACATTAGGAGCATGCTCCTACGTTGTCAGGCAGACATGCTACTGAATATGTATGTCCCCAATGTGCTTGTATGCATACAAGCACATGGGGGACAAACTACTTAGTAACATTTTGAGTTGCTGCAATGAAATTTCAGCAAAATGGACTAGCCTGCTGCATCATTTTTTAATTTTGATTTTTGGGGTGTCTTTGAATTCAGTCCTCTGTAGGTTGATAATTTTCATTTCCATGAAACAATGGGGCATCCTAACATTCCTAACACATTACCCAGTCCATATCAGTATAGATATCCAGCATGATATTTTTTCCCATTGAGATCCGATATGTTTTCATAGTGGTCCTTTAATTTTTTTGAGCAGTGTATATCTCGCTGAGGATTTCCGACACGTTTCGCAGTTCACATTTTCTTCATGATGGACAACACGGGACCATCTTACCACAACATCAGTCAAACCATCTGATTAACCCTCCCCTGTACCATATGGAGGTGGGATCTCATGGGCCTCTTGTGTGGCACCTCCTCAGAAGCCAATGGTCATCAGATGGTTTGACTGATGTTGTGGTAAGCTGTAAATGATTAGCATATCAATAAATCAAGCTGGCATCAGGTCAGTCATGTAAAGAACAAGGTCACCTTTCTTTCCTTTGGTGGTAGATCATCTTCA